CAGGAAAAACCATAGCTTTGACTATTCGGACTTTTGTTGGCAAGGTGATGTCTCTGCTTTTCAAGATGCTGTCCAGATTTGTCATCGCTTTCCTCCCAAGAAGAAGGCGCCTTTTAATTTCAGGGCTGCTGTCTTCATCTGCAGTGATCATGGTGCCCAGGAAGATAAAATTTGACACTGCCTCCATCTCTTCCCCTTCTATTTCCCAGGAGGTGATGGGACCAGTGGCCATGATCTTAGTTTTTTTGATGTTGAGTTTCAGACCGTTTTTTGCACTCTCCTCTTTCACTCTCATTACAAGGTTCTTTAATTCCTCCTCACTTTCTGCCATCAGAGTGGTATCATCTGCATATCGGAGGTTGTTGATATTTCTTCCGGCAATCTTAATTCCGGCTTGGGTTTCTTCCAGTCCAGCCTTCCGCATGATGTATTCTGCATATAAGTTGAATAAGTCCAATAAATAAATAAATAAATAAATAAATAAATAAATAAATAAGCAGGGAGACAATATACAGCCTTGTCATACTCCTTTCCCAATTTTGAACCAATGATTTGTTCCATATCCAGTTCTAACTGTTGCTTCCTGTCCTACATATAGATTTCTCAGGAGATCAATAAGGTGGTCAGGCACCCCCTACCTCATCAAGGTATAGAAATTTGTAACGAGAATGCCATCGTGTTGAAGGCTCTGGGTTTCCACGTCAGGTTCATTGAATGTAACTGTTTTTAGCTACATAGCTGGGGATATGGTTAAGTTTGTTTCTGTTTCATCATTCCATAATTCAGCTCTTTAAGAGGCTGCAATTAGCAACCAAAGTGAAGCGTGACCTTCGGGGCTTTCTACAGAGTATGAAAGAAGCAATCCAGAATTTGGAGAGTTCTGTTTCACACTTAAAAGCTTCTTATCTTTGAGCAATCTGTGTTATTTCTCACTGGAGAGATGTCTTGTGGGGGGCAGAGCCCATGGCCATAGCCCCCTTCCCTGCCTTTTCTCATTCAGCCAGCTGCAGTGGCTGTCCTTTTTTCTGATGAAATAAAGTAGGTGGCATATCAAAAGAGCAATGCACCCACCTCATATAGTATTATAATTTCACTGTTTCAGTTGGAAAACATTAAAGAAAAAGAAGATGAAAACAGTGGAGAGTGTTTCTCCATCTTCCCTTTCAATGTCAGAACCCACTTATTATGTCACAGGGTTGTCACCTCTGAAAATGCACACAGAGCTCCATTTGGGTGAGAACTAATGGGCTGCACAAGCTACACAATGAGATAATTAGGATCATGCTGAATTGCATCGAAAAGTATACATGCTTTGCCCCAGAAAGGTGTGTGACAGCTCTTAAAGAGGCAGGATGGATCTTAAGTCGAGGCTCCATTCTCGTCAAAACAACTTTTTGCAAACAGAGCTATCTTAACTCGAATTGTTCTTATGTAGGGATGTTTTCAAGTCGAGGTACCACTGCATAGGGAGGGACCCAAGCCAGCTCAAAAATAAATAAATAAACAGGCTCAATGAAAAATACTATACGTTATACTATTAGGACAACTTTTAACAGTATTTTAAAATTGCTAATAAGAACAATTTTAGAAACACTCAAAAAACCAAAGACTTGTATGAAAAGAAAAAACCTGCAGTAAAACTGATCTGTGTTTAGTCAGTGAAAGGCTGTTTTAAAAAGGAATCTCTGTACCTATCACTGAAAGAGTAGCAGGAAAGGGGGCAGTCTCTTCTCCTGAGGAGAGTGCATTCCATAACCTGAGAACCTCCATTAAAAAGGTCTTGTGTAGCATCCTCAACAAACATGCCTGCAAATGGGAGCAAGGCCACAAAAAGTGCCTCCCCTCAAGATGTTAAAGCACAGGATGGCTTATATAGAAAGTCAAGATGGGCATGATTTTAAAAATGAATCAACAAATTTGTTTTAAAAATGACTAATTCATCAATTCATACTCGTACAAATCAATGCCCTTGACGAATCATGAATCAATGAATTTTAGTGATATTTGATTCATCAATTCATTTGGCTATGAAACAGCCCCTAAGGCACCTAGAAACACCAAAATTGCAGGGAAGCTTTGTGAACAAGAAGATCAGCCGCTCAGAGTGGTATAGATTTACCAGATGAGCGGGATATAAATCAAACAAACAAACAAACAAACAAACAAACAAACAAATAAATAAATAAATAAGATATAAGAGACGAGAAGAGTAAGAGTAAGCCCCTCAAACGTCTCTGTAAAAGAGGAAAAAGACAGAGAAAAGTATAACAAAGATGAAAGGGTTAAAAGTGGGAGAAGAGGAGGAGCAGCCGGGAAAGAGAGAAAAAGGGAGGTAGACATTTTCTTGACCTCAGAAGAGGGACAAACAAGAAAGGGAGAGGGAGAAACAAGAAAGGTGTTGGTGTTGGAAGAAGAATGGATAGAAGGGGAAGGAGAACTGTTCCAAAATCCCACAGAAAGGGACAGGTGTTGAAAGTCGGGACTTGAAAGAGACGGAGAAGAAGGTGAAGGAAGGGAAACCAATAATTGAGGGACTGGGACTGGAAGAATGGACAGTTTAGGTACCTGCGAGGATGAGGTCCCTGGAAGAGGGTGATTCATCCGGGGCCAGTCCAACCACACGAGAAGCCTCCCGAGGGAGAGTGGTCATGTCATCCTTGCTGCAGGACTATCTGTGCAGTAAGGAGTGGATGTCTGAGAAGGCCGACGGATCAAGAACGTTTTGGTCAGTCCTTCCGTTAAAAAGAGACATTTATGAGAACATGTTCCCCTTGTTGTGGGCTGACTTACCAGTTAATAATGAACCTATGGATCCTGTTGAAGCTGTGATTGAAAAACCTATTAGCTTTGTTAATAAAAGTTTATTCAAAGAATCTCCCCTCTTGTCGTTTCCTGCCAAAAACAAGAAACTGTCAGACACTGTCAAAGAACATGATCACAAGCTTCCCTTTGACTCCCCTCTATAATCACTCTGAGTTTGGTGAAGGTTGGGTTTCAATGTCCAAATTCGTTGTTGTTGTTGTTTAGTCGTTAAGTCGTGTCTGACTCTTTGTGACCCCAGAGCACGCCAGGCCCTCCTATCTTCCACTGCCTCCCGGAGTTGTATCAGTTTCATGTTGGTTGCTTCGCAGACACTGTCCAGCCATCTCATCTTCTGTCGTCCCCTTTTCCTCTGGCCATCACACTTTCCTAACATCAAGGTCTTTTCCAAAAAGTCTTCTCATGAGATGGCCAAAGTATTGAAGCCTCAGCTTCAGGATCTGTCCAAATTACACACCCACAAAGAGGGGCCGCCAGGAAAGCCCCCTCCCCAAGAACCTAGAGACACCAAAATTACAGAGAAGCTTCCCCTGATTCACCCCTACAGTCTCTCCAAGTTTGGGCTTCCCCAAGCCAGCTGCTAAAGGGCACTTTCCTGGCGGGGATCCACTTTGTGGGTGGATTACATGGATGTCTGAAACCCATTTTATAGGGTTTAAAAGTTTAAAAAAATTGACAGATTGATTAATTGATTTATTAGGAAATCATATATTTATAATTTGTGAATCAAAATGAATCAACATTTTTCTGATTCATGCCCATCTTTAATAGGAATACAGTATATGGTTCTTGAGATAATCTGGACCCAATTCATATGGGGCATTATAGGTCATAATTAGCACTTCAGACTGGGCCTGGAAATGGATGTTTGCCAGTGAAGATGTTGTAATGGCAATTTTATGCTCTCTGTGACTAGCCATGGTCAGCAGCATGGGTACAGCATGTTGGAGTAGATCAAGTTTCAAACAGCGTTTAAAGGCACCCCAACACAGAGTGTATTGCAGTAATTTAGAAGGGGTGTAACCAAGGCGTGAGTCACTGTATGTCAGGGTTCATTCAGTGGAAAAGGCACCAGGACTCAGTTCAGAGCAAGACCACAAGAATAAGTTAGAAACAACCTCACAGCCCAAGCAGAGACCAGCCAGCTGAGGTTTTGAGTTCAAACAGCAGCTGGGTAGAAGGATGACGGGAATCGTGATCAGACAGTCCAGGAGTCGAAGTCAGGAGGAACAGTGCTAAGGCAGCAGGGTCCAGGGACTCAAGGAGAGGCAAGATAGGAACCACTAGGCAAAGCAGGAACAAGGAGGCAAGGCAGGAATAACACCACAGCACGGCTGAAGACCTTTGTTGCTATGGCAAAGGTCTGTAGGGAAAGCCTGTTCTCATATAGCCCAGTCCTCAGATTCCACATGTGGCACTCCTGGGCAACAGCTGCAGGGAAAAGACCCAGCCCTGCAATCTCTAGAGCAGTTTTTCCCAGAGGGATGGGGCCAATCCTGCATGCACTATGGTTGGCATGGTTCCAGCATGGCCCCAGACCTGACACTGTAGCCAGATCAGACATTTCAAGGAAGAGGGGCACCTGGCTCATGGGCTTTAACTGTGCACATACACTCCTGGCCACCACTGAAACCTAGGTATCCAGGCTCTGGACCTAATCTTACTATTACTCACTCTCAAGTAGTAAGTAAACTAAACATCACACTCATGTTGTCTGGGCTGTTGTCTTAATCTGAAACAGTCTGCAGCCAGGGTAAAAGTTGTTTTAAACCCACCCCCCCTCACAATGTTAACCATAAGATAAACAAGAGTAGTGTTGTTTTTAAGTTTTTGTTTTTTGTCGAATCTGGGAACCAAGGAAATGTAATAGCTCTTATGTAGTAGTTTCTCTATGATTATCCATGTGCATCACGGATGGGGAAAACTCCCCCAAGGCCAATCAAATGGTGGGCATAATTGAACTATTTGCTCTGAAAGGAGTAGTTCGATTATGCCCCCCAGTTGATTGGCCTTGGGGGAGTTTTCCCCATCCGTGATGCACATGGATAATCATAATGTTCAGATGTTCAAAACAGAGATGGACTACAAGAGCACACTTAAAGTAAATGTTTAGAATACTTGGTAATCAGACATAAAAGTGACCATTTTTTAACATTACTGACCTTCTTTTCTAATTTCAGTAAGTGAGAAGTGGAGCTGGAAGACTCTGAGGTGAATAATTCTTTCTCCCTTGATCAATGGATTTCAGTTTCACCAGGTAACAGGCGGTGGGTTAGCCTGCCTTACCCTACCCCATTTCATTTGAATGCATTAATGCATAAAGGCCATATTTTGCAATGTGTGTTTGTGTGCTTCAGGAATCTGTGCATCTCAGTATGCAATACTAGATGTGTGTTTAGAAATGTGTTCTACTTACTCCCAGGTAAATAGACTGAGGTTTCCAGCCGTGAAATCCTAGTCAAGATTACATGACTTCTATCTATCTATCTATCTATCTATCTATCTATCTATCTATCTATCTATCTATCTATCTATCTATCTATCTATCTATCTATCTATCTATCTATCTATCTATCTATCTATCTATCTATCATGTTCCCTGGTAAGCTAAGACGTCTCTTTTAAAACACTGATATTTATAAATGAGTGCAAGTACTTTGCATATGAAATGTTGGATTTTGTATATGTTGTATATTTATTTTCCCATGCAGTGGCTGGCCTAAAATAGTTATACTCAGCTTTTTCGTCTTTCTTTCTCTGCTATATACTGTGAACATGGTAGTAATTACATAATGAAATTCATTCATATTCAACACATGTGTAATTCTTTTGGTCATGGGGTGGGGGAAGAGCTGCTTTCTCTTTACTAGGTGTGTGGAAAAAGAAATATTGGCATGCATGGGTCGACTTCCTATCTTTGGTGGCAGTTCTAAGAATTTTCCAACTTCTGACTGGGGACTCTGTCAAATTTAGCAGCCCTTCTTGAAGAAGGTTGAGGACAGTTGTTCTATGTACTCAGGAGTGGTTTCTAGTTGTTTTTATCTCCTTTTTAAAGGTCTACATTTGTTTTATACATTGATGGCTTTGTCCCCCCTCACTCCAATTCTACCAGTTTTATGTAGACAGTTTTCCTTCTCCAAATACAATGTCACTGAATCATTCATCCTAGTGAGAGGTTTGGGGGTGTTTCAAAGCTTTTAGAGTCCATTAGAAAAGACTGATCAATACAAGGATGTGCATGTTTTGCTCACAAATCAGAGCTTTAAATGAATTGCATGCAGTAGAGAGGCACTCTCCCTTCTGGCTGAAGTACTGCTGAGTGAGCAGGTTCTTTCGAGTGGAAGGCAGATACTGTACATTTGAGAAATGGGACTGATAGAGTAGGGAACCTCTAGCTTTCCCCCCTTCTCCTATTTCTTTTAAAAAGTCAATTCAGCCTGAGCTGCACACCTGACATGACACATACAACACTTTTTATTCATGAACAAGAATGTGGGGGATTTATCTCCATCCTGAATGACATCAGTCCCAGCTAACGGGGGTATATTTTCTGAGTAGTAGCAAGGTGGGGAAAATGCATATGATTTTATGAAGTTTTGAATGTGTCCTTCCTTGTGGATCACTGATCAACCATGTTAAGATGCTTTCATTTTATGATTAAAGGGCAACTGCTTGTCCACTGCTATCTATTGGATGGTTTCATTTCCACTGAATATATCTATTTTTAAATCATTGTTATCAGAAAAGCAAAGTAAGTTTTCCATGGTATTAGGTTTTCTTGTTCTGAAATCTATCTCTATTTTTTTGTTATACTTATATACCACTTCTCCTCCAAGGAGCTCAAGGTGGTGCACACAGTTCTCCACCCCATTTTTTTCAACCTATGATGGTAGGTTAAGCTAAGCAGTCACCAAGACCAGAAGCAGAAAAGGACCTATCGGAGAGACTTCAGAACCAGACATGTGGGATCTACAGAGCTCTCTGAAGTGGCAGGAGCCCTCTGAAGCTTTTAGAGTCCATTAGAGTCCATCACCTCCCACCCCCACACTTTGTACCACTGGAAATTAGCTTATCCAAACTACTGAGAAAGAAAAATACAGTACATGATAAAAGTTGACACATGAGACTATGTTTAGAATATACATACTTGTATCTGGATGGTCTTACACGGATGACCTTTTTTTTTCTAGAAGAGAAAACAGAGCTTCAGATGAAAAGCATCCTGCTTTTCATGATGGAAGAAAAGCCCTGTTGGATCTGTTCCAGGGTTTGGTTCAATATTTTATTCACAAAGAAAGTCCAACAGACACCTTTGGCAAGCTTACACAAGGCAACAGTCCTCCATTTTGGTGATGTTGAGGAAGTGTACTCCCTCTGAGTAATATGAGATGTCTGTTTACTACCACCTGCTGACAGACAAAGCCTCCACTCACTAGTCCAATTTTGCTTTTAAAAAGACTATATGGAAGGAAGCATCATCTAGAAGCCCACTTATTTCATGTGTCCCAGTCATCTCTACGTTTTGTGGCAAGTAAATACCATGTTTAGTGCTTTCTCCATGTGATCAGATTATCTTCCAAAGTTCATCATAGCCCCATAAACAGAGGAATCAATATTATAAACACCAACAATAATCAACGTGTGGATTTCCTTATGTACCAAAATGGCAAAAGTCCTCACTTAAAAGGTTTGTAAAAGAGGATGGAAGGAGCAAACTAGGAGTGCCATCAAGCCATTCCAGAGAGGTCTGACCTGGCCATGGTGTCACATGTCTTACCTGTATCCCAGCTGGATTACCGTAATACACTATGTGGAGCTGCCTATGGAAAGTATCTGAGGAGCAAACTAGGGCCATCAGCTGCAGCCATTCCAGAGAGGTCTGACCTGGCCATGGTGTCTGATGTCTTAGCTATATCCCAGGTGGATTACTGTAATACACTCTATGTGGAGCTGCCTATGGAAAGTATCTGGAAACTTTACTGGGTCCAAAATGCAGCAGCCAGATTGCTGACTCAGCTGGTTACTGGGATAACATAACCTTCCTGTTACAGCAGCTATACTGGCTGCCAGTCAGGGCACATTTCAAAGTGCTGGTTCTAACCTATAAAGCCTTAAACTGTTGGGGTCCAAGCTTTCTCAAGGCTAAGATACCCAGGTGTGGCTGCAGCCAGCCTCCAGCACTGTGGATCTGGCTGGGTTCCCTGGCACAAACTCCATGGGCTCAATTTCAGAGTTTAACTATATGGGCACTTAGTTTACAGTAGTACTACAGCTACACCAGTCCTTGGGCATCCTCTCCCTTAGTGGGATCTTCAGTTAAGTTCACTGAGAGTCCCTACTGTGCAGGTCCATCAACAGTGGGTTAGGCTGACAAAAAAATTACACAACAGGATTTTACCCACTCACCATGCAGGTCCATCAACAAGAGACTTAGCCCAACTCAAAGAGGGCTTGTCTTGTCCTTGCTATAGCTGCCCAGCCCTTCCTTTCCCCCTGGCCCTTGCCTTGTCCAGGTTGATGACAGAGAGGAGGCTCCACTGTCATTTAGCAGTGGTCCTTCAGCTGGAGGAACATCATATAGCTCTTCTGGTCTCAGGACATCAACCCAGGGTGATGTGTGTTGTTGTTATTGTTGCTGTCCTCCTCCTCTTCCTTCCTCTTCTTCTGTTGACCAGCTGCCTCCTAAAGCCCAGCCTACTCTCCTTTTTTGGTCTGGCCCCTGGCTGCCTTGGGCAGGTGTTTCCTATTAGTCTGCTGCACTTGTCCCAGCTGTCTTCTTTCCCCCTTTCCATGTGCCTTAGTCTCCCTCTCTCTCTCCCTGCCCCAGCTCTCTCAGCCACTTTAAAGGGGCCTGATAGTCCCCCCCCCCCATAGCCAGCATGCTCACCCTGTCACACAAGGTGTGAAGATCATCAGAAGAGGCCTTTATCTCAGTCCTGCCACCTTCACAATTACCTCTGACAAAGACACAAGTCTGTTGCTGCTCCCACACTTTGGAACTACCTCCCACAGGAGAGCAGGCTGGCCCCATCTTAGTTGTCCTTCTACAAGCAGATGAAAACCTTTTTCTTCAGGCAAGCTTTCCCTTTACTAACTGGCTGGAAGAGTTGGGTTCTTAGCGCTCTTAATGCATTTTTTGCATTTCTTTTGTTTACTTTTTTTAGTGTGGTATTTGTTTGATATCTGTTAATATTTGTATACACACTGTTTCTAGCTTTAAATATTATCTTTTAATGATGTGAGCTGCCTTGGGTTCTCGCTAAGGAGAAAGGTGGGATAAAATATTTTAAATAAATAATCAAGAAAGCTGATTGGAAATCTGAAATTGAGAATGGGGGATGGAATATCTTGATTGGATCTCTTCTCCCAGTTACATCTTTATTTTGTGTATTAGGCTTTATCCAGAAGAATCAAACTTGCTGTTTCTCTGGGAATTAAAAGATAACTTACTTTTCCATTCTCTTCTCTGGGAATATGTGTAATTTCAGCCAGAAGCTACTGTGAATCTCATCCACTAAATCTGCAGTCATATTGCTCTAGCTTTTCTCAATAAAAACCATAGACTGCTTATCATAAGGATGTTGTGGAGCCAGCCAAGATTGGAGTGATTAGAGATGGTCATTATTACGAACAAACAGCTTCAGCAACTAGAGCCTATCTGCCATTCTTTTTACCTTTATGAAATTTAGAGAGTTGGGATGGAAAGCGTGTTTAAAAAATTCTGACAGTTGACAGAGGAGACTTCCTTTCAGTTCTCTTTCTGATACCATTAGCCATGCTGCAGAATCCCTGTCCTAAATTGCATTTTGAGAATGCTTAAGCAGAGATAATTTTAAACAAAACAATGCATTCCAGTGATATGTTTGGAAAACTCTATTCATTGTAATTCCTGAGCCATCAGGTGGGCAAAGATGGTTTATATCCAACCTCAGTAACTTTCAGAATGGATTTGCAGTTGCTCGTTGTGTGGGAAAACTCCTTCACTTTTTGTTTTCACGTTTTCCAATCATTTTTTCTCCCCTATTTTAATATTTGCTGTACTGTAACATTTGCTTTAATATTTGTTGGATGATATCATCTCCTACTTCACTGGCTTCATTGTAAGATGTGACAACCATATAATTTCTGGGTGGATGAGGCAGACCGAAACCAAGTGTACAGCGGAAGGAACAGTTGTTAGAAATCCTGACCTGTAAGCTGTTATAGGTGCTACTCCTGTCCTCTGAAGAGGCCGGCCAGCGATCTAAAGCTTGATTG